GGGGAGTCCTATCAACCCTTTCCTCCCAATCCTCAAGCCCTCACTCCCTTCTCCGCCCCTGTTCAGCAGGAAGCAGCCAGAGAGAAAGCAACGTCCACAAACCCATAGAGGAGAAAGGGGGGAATGAAGGGTCCCCACCAGTAAGATGGCAAACTTCCGGCTTCTCTTCGGGGTCCTCAGTTCCCGCCGGCGCCACCTGAAGCCCAATCACCTCTCGCCCCCCTCCCAATCCCAGCACCTAGCCAACAGCCACCAGCCCCGTAGAAGTGACACCTCAATCAATTCATGCCCCCTCCTATATAACCCAGCACCTTTCCCTAATAAAGCGGAACTCTCCGGTGAATTGCTGCTATGTGTCGCTCCTTTCCTTTCAACCACAGACAAAAATTTGGGAATATTCAAAATGTATATGGTTAACTGAAGCCACAGAATGGATAACATTAGAGTGAGCTGAAAGGAAGAAGACTAAGGACCAAGACTTAGAACAGACCATCAGTTAAAGATCTGGTCTACCAGAGGAGTTGGAGGAAGCGGGGGAGGGGGAGGGGGGGAACCTGAAGGAACAGCCATTCTGGATGGGCATTAGGACTTAGAGGTCCAAGAATTAGTCAAAGGGAATTCCCCCCAAATAGAGTCCAGATCCACTTTACACTGAATATTCCCAAAATAAATGTTGTAACTCAGTTAAGTAACAATAAATTCAGTTAAAACTGATAAATCCTACAAGATGTAGATGAAAACAATCTTTGTAACTATGAGACTTGAACACAGTTTAGAAATCAGTGATGTATGAAGTTTATTCAGTTTCTATAGTAAAAAAACAAAAACTTACTGGGAAATCTTATACATTTCTTTTGTTTTAAAGATTTTAGATAATTTCTAGATTGCTAAACCTTTTTAAGCATGTTAAACTATAAGTATTCTAAGAGCAAAAACCAGAGTATTTATCTTTGAATCTTTAGCATCTAGTTCCGTGCCCAACATTAAGTACCTGACCAAAAAAAAAAATCACTGAATGAAAGAATGGCACCAGAACACTTTTGTGCAAATTGTGCTGCTACCACAGCAGTTTTTTCAGAACAAGCTTTAACTGAGGGCTCTTCTCATTCCACAGAACACTTACTTCCTTTAGAAATAAAATGCTATCTGCAAAGAGATCTCATCCTTAAGGGGAAAATCCTTTGGGCAACACATTCCACAGATCTGAATGATAAACCCGAGTGCTGTCAGCCACTGCAGTGTTTGCAAAACTCAAGTATGTACACCAGCCAGTGCTGAATGTCTAGTCATCGATTCTTGAGAGTTGTAGAATAGCAATGCTCAGATTTAACAGAATAGGTCCTTACTTCCACAAAAACTAAACTCACCAGTCTGAAAAACAACTGTTGGCATTTAGCTGTATTAACAGTTAAGAATTATATTCTCTGTATAATTTTCAGGATAATGATGTCAGCTAAAATCTGTTTTATATGTATAATATTCTCAAAGAAAATGGTCTATAAAAGCAAAAAAATTGAAAAGTAATTCCATTTTTCTTTGCCTAAATTTCTGTCTGATATTTTAGATAGGAGTCACACATTTCTATGCTACAAGAAAAGCACTAGTTCAGAAGTTATTATACCCCCAGTTGCACTTAACTATCCAAATTAAATTTTTTTAAGGAATATTAATTTATTTTGAAATGTGGAGCTTCAAATTAAAAAACCACAGCTTTGTGGAACTTCTCATTTTGCTATCAGCATGGAACAAACTATGTGTAGAGAATGATGCTCTGGATTTTAATTATATATTTGTATTCTAGGATCCCAATTACTGAATTGATGAGCTGGAGCTGGAGTGGGGTTTGGTGGGGTGCAGCTAATCAGAGACAGACCCTGTATCCCTTCCCTTAGGCTACTTTATATAACTGTGAAATAGGAATAAAAAATTCTTATTAAGGGAAAAAGCTGATGATAGGTTAACTTCCTATCCTATCATGGTAAGGTTAAATCCTTCCGATTAAAGGCTTAAATTCAATTCTACCTTTATGAATTACTAACACATCGAAAGTTATTGGGTCCTTTGCTCCTTTTTAAGAGCATCATGGCGGCTACCTTACAAGCAGAAAACCAATTTTAAAGTCACACAAACTAAAAAGACGCTGAAAGTGTTAACTTTTGAAATGATGTTTGAAATGCTTTGGAAAAGTGCCCAACAACTTAAAGTAGTAATATTAAACCATTACAGATCGGGATAAATTATAGGAGAACTTCCATATCCACATAACTTCTATGTATTCTCTCAAAATGTCCTGTCTGCAATACTCTCCTCATAAAGATCTAGCAAACACTAAGACAGATTAATTTTCCAAAGCTTTTACCTTTTACCCAAAACAGTTCATGTTTCTTCAGTTATGCCATTTTAAAGCACTCAAATCCAAAGCAACTGCGATATACAACTCTATGCTAAATAAATAAAAAACAAAGAACAAAACATCCCCCAAACCCCACAGCAAAGGTCAGAAGCTCTGGAATTAAGTTTATTTTTCTGCATCTTATTCTGAATAATACCTAAACCCTCCTTAGGAGGTAAAGGATCTGATCCCGAAATTACATTATTAGTCTCTTTTTCTACAAATATTGACGTATTTGAGAAATGCTGCTCTCCATGTATAAGGAATTAAAATCCCTTTCATTTATACAGCTTGATTTTTACAGCGCTTTCCTTGATACTCACTTGAAATATATACAACACGAACGTATAATAATTTTAGATTAACAAGGCATAGAAGATAACGCTTATCCAGAACTCACTCTAACCTAACAACTCCACAAAGTGCAACCTTGAGGCCAACAGAATAAGGCGTGCAAACTGTGCCACTGCAGGTTCTCAATGAACAAAAATTCCTTTAAATGATAAAACCAGACTCTCCCATTTGCAAAGAAAAAGTAATCCCAATCTTAGAAATAGCAAAGAAAAACTCCAAAACAAAACCCAAATTCCAAACCACAGTCACGCAAATCTTTTCAACTCAAAGCTCCAAACGCAGCCACCAACCACACAACTGGCTACAAAATCACAGCGTTAGCGCCTTCTTTGAATTTCGAATCTGGAGATTTAAGAAGAAAAACAAAAGATCAAAACAAAACAACAGTTCTAAATTTCACTAAGTGGAAAAAAAATCACTTTAAGTGAAGAAAACGTGTTAATCATGAGACGACTAATCTCATTTCCTCGTCCACGCTTCCAGCCCTTGAACTAAATCTCTGAAACATCGACGGGAGGCAGGAGTCCTGGCAGCGAGGTTAGAAGAAGTCAAACCAACCGCTCGCCGTCCGGAGAGATGTCAGGCGCCGGGCATCGGGAGACAAAGACGAGCCCGCGAAGCGCCCCGGCAGCGAGGGGCGGCCCTGCGCCCCTAACCGCCCGGAGGAGTGGGGAGCACCGCCGAAGACGCGCCCACGGACCTACGGGCTCCCCGCCCGCACGGCGCGGCCGCTGCGGCCCGGGTCCACCCGCGGGCCGTTTCCCTCCCAATTTGGGAACCGCGCGCCTGGGGACAATGGGGGAGGTCGCGCCGTGGGCAGCGGGATTGCGACGTCCCTCGGGGCTCGGCGGGAACCCTCGGCAGGTCCCTCTCCCTTCCGCCGGCGCCTGGCCGCACTCTTCCCCGGGCTCCCGGGCCCCTCTCGGGCCTCCGCACAAGTTCTCTCGTTGCCCCTCGGCCCCTCCCCTTGCCCGCTTCTCCCCAGCCAGCCCTGCGCCGCCCCTCACCCGGCGGCGTGTTGCCCCGGAGCCGCCTCCTCCGCCGGGCCTCAGCCCGTCCCGCCGGCCGCCGCCTCATGTGCCCCGTGTCGCCATCGCCTTCGCCCTCGCCGCTCCTTTTTCGCCGCCACAGCCTTCGCTTCAGTCTCCAGCACAGGCCGAAGCAGCTCCCGCCGCCGCCGCCCGCCGCTCCCGCCGCCCGGACCCGCGGGGAGGCGCGTGCGCACTACGCGCCGCGGTGGGGGCGGGGGGTCCCGCCGCGGCCTGGGAGCAGCGGGCGCGCGGCACGTGGCGCTGCGTTGGGAGGGGGCGCCTCGGAGCGCGCGAGCGTCCAACTTTCCGCGGTAGGGATCGCGCGCGCTGCCGAGAGGTCCTGGACGCTGCGGAGGGGTGACGCGTGTCGGACCCACCCGCGTGGAGTCCGGGCCGGCGTGGGCGCAGACCTCGCCTCCGGAACAATTCATTCCTCCAACTTGACTCTCGGGACAGGCGTCTTCCGCGGGAGTGCTTCACTTTGAGCTGACTGCTAACGACGCCGTGAGGACACGCCTTACCTGGGTATCCTGGGTTGGTCCAGCGAGCCGGGGAGCTGTCTTCTGTGCACTCGGCCAAGGCCTTGGTACAAAGTAAGCTAAGGATGCTGATGCCCAACAGTTACTCGAGGATCCTACTGGCCCTCGTTCGGTTAACCATCCTAGGTCCTTTGAGTTGTCGTATGAAGTGACGTTCTAGATACTTTTGAGGTCCTGGGCTTCTCGGATTAGCAAGACCCTAATTGGCCATTTCCTCTTAACCCCTTGCATCCCAGTAGGATCCCATTCAAAGGACTTCCTCAAAATTTATATGCATGGACTCTCCAGTCTGCCTCTTGGAATCTGAAAAGTCCACAAATACTTGAGGTAGGGTGAGTCCATGCATAACAACGAGGGCGCGCTGAGGAGATGGGAGTGTGCTTTGAAGAGTAACAACTCCTGTACTCAATTATTTCATTTGACCATCACTCTGCAGAAGGATGGACTTTTATTTTACCCTTTTGACCAGAGAGGAAATTAATCTCTAACAAGTGAGGTGACTAGCTACAGGTCAAACACCTCCGCCTGGAAAGCCAGGCCCTAACAGGCCAGTTCAGAGGTTAAAGACTTGAGGACTGGGCTTCTAGACCACTGACAAGGTTTTGTTTGGCCAATACAACATTCTCCAAAAATGAGAATTGATTGCTGAATTTAAAAAATCCATATTTAGCTTCTCTCAAAAAAGTAAAAATACTTGCTCGCTTTGAGTCATTATTTTCACATGGCAGCTTACTTCTCAGTAACGTTTGCTCATCCAGGGCAGGCACTGTCCCACCTCAGCCTGTTTGAATCATTTTCATTATCTGCTTGGCTTCTGTGTTTATTCTCCTTCCCCAATACTTACCATGCCCCAGTCCCTCCCAGCCCACTATCGCATTACCTGTCTACTAATGAGTTTAAAATAACAAGTGTGAAAACCCTGTACATATATGAAAATGAGTAAAGAACACGTCAACTAAAATAACACAGGAGACAGCATCATTGTACATGCTAGTTAAAATATTAAAACTAACATCCTGCTAGTGCACGTGTAAACTGGTACAAATCACTTTGGAAAACTGGCAATATCTACTAAAGCTGAGCCTATAAATGCAATGGACTCTTATTCCACAGAAATGTGTACAAATGTTCACCAAAATACATATACTAGAGTATTCATAGCAGCACTATTTGTGATAGCCAAAAAATTGGTAACTACCTAAAATACCCATTAACCATAGAAAGAGTAGATAAAATGCTATATTCACAAAATTAATTCACACACAAAAATGGTATATTATGCAGCAACGGGAATGAGCACTCTAAAATTACACACAATCTAGGAGAATCTCACAAAACTGCATTTACATAAGCTCATAAACAGGGAAACTAATCTGTGCTGTTAGAAGGGTAGTGGTTGGTTATCTTGGAGGAAGAACAGTTACTGGAAGGGAGCATAAGGGGTCTTCTGGGGGGCTGGACCCGTTTTATTCTTGACCCTGATGCTGAATACACAGATGTATGTGTTCAGTTGCCACATCTGAGCTGGACACTTTTGATAGGGCACTTAAGTGTGGCATTAAGACTTCAGTTAAAAATTTTAAACTGTATTAAAATACTTGATTATATATGTATGTATAATACATAAATAATATGTAAACAAATATGTATTATATAATATGTAATATATAAAAATAATATATATAGTCAAATGTTCACTAGGTATTATTTTCCTCTAAATTCATGGATGAACCTGCCAGGGAAGGCTTCCCATCTTTTAGCACTGCCCAGTGCTTCATGAGATTGGGAATAACACACTTTCTGTATTTGTTACCCTACTACCAAGCCTGCAGCCCCATCTCTCTTCTGGCAGAACATCCTTTCAAAGATGAAAATAATGAAACCCAAGGAAGCTAAGTTTTACCATCAGATAGCTAAAAAAAGACAAAAATATAACCAAAGTCTCTTAACTCCTAGTCAGGGCTCTTCTTTTTCTCCTCTGCCCACCTTGCCAGCCACCTTTAATCCAGTTATGGGTGGGGAAACACCTAAGCAACCTAAGCCAGAGGATCTCTGGTCCTGGTATTCACCAGGGAACCACTAGAATAGTGAGCTCCCTAAAGGCAGGGCTGCTGCATCCCAGCTCCCAGAGCAGAGCCCAGCACACAGTAGGTGCTGAACAAGTATATGGAGAGTGAATGAGTGAAGGAAGGCTCACCATTAGTAGCACAAAGACAGGTTGCTGGAGGGAAGGAAGAAGAAAGCCCCACATGTTAAACAGGGAAATGGGTCTGATTTCCAGCCTCTGGCAGGGAATGGTGGAGCTGGGTGCTGTGAGAACCACATCACTTTTTATTCACATGGGGCCCAGGCAGGAAAGGATCAAAACCCTGTTTGAAAACTTGAGAATCACCCTGGGGCTCTGTGGTTTGGGAACTGTAGGGTCAACTTGAAGACTGCAGTGTGTCACTATTTCCATTACACATTTTCCAGGGTCCCCAGTTGGCTGGTAAACTCAGAGCAGATTCTTATGTCCTGGGGGATGGGAGCTGAGCTTCAGAGAGGTAGGATCTGGCAACAGGAAATCTTGCCTGCCCCAGACTGGCCAGATAAAGTAGAATTGTTAAAGAAGCTCTGATTACAAATGTTAATGGGAGGGGATATTAGTAGCACAACCCCCTCTCCCCATAATCCCCAGCAGTTTCGGTTAACCTGTGGGACACATTATACTCCTTCCTACCCCAGAGATGATGACTGAAGCCGATTTTTCTGTTAAAACTTTTTTGAGTAGGTAATACAAGTTGCACAGGAGAAACAGTAAAGTAAGATGAGCCTCCACCAGTGTTCCCCGGAACCTGGTTAGCAGTTTCCTGTGTATAAATGCTGGATTTTAAATTAAGGTCGATTTACTTGCAAATGAGAGGTAGGTGAAGTTTGGTCACGAGTTGGGGGTGGGGAGAAGGGTCTGGGAGATGCAGTGTCCTTCTCTGGTACCACCCACCAGCCAAGGACTTTTGGACACGCCCAGAACACAGTGCGCTGACTCAGGACTTACCCTGCTTTGGGGAGGAGCAGTGGGGTTGGGGCATGGTCTGAGAGTATCGGGAAGCTCTGGGTTTGCTCTGCCCAACTGTTTGCCCTCATTTACCTCTATTTCTAAGATCGTGTGAGAATGTGATGGTGAAATGTACATGAAACCATATTATTATGGTTAGTATGTTATTAATTTTCTATTACAGAGTGGTCTACAGTGGTTATTGGTTGGATAGCTCAGCCATTTACCTGCTGTGTGGTCTGGCTGTTATTGAACCTCTCTGAGCCTTGGTTTCCCTCATCTGTAAAATGGGGATGAGATCTACCTGTTGAGGTTGTTGTCGAGATCAAATAAAATATGTAAAGTGCCTAAACTTTGTGGTGTGTGCTTCAGAGGAAGCTGGGCAATTTGGGTATTCAAAAGCACCCAAAACAAGGACTTCAGCAAAATACTTCGAATCTCTGGAGCACCCACTCATCATCTGACTGGGATCCCTACTGATATCTTCTACAGCTCTGAATCGTTCCCTCAATGAGACACAATTCTGTGTTTGCATCATTACAGTCTAATTCAGCCTTCCAATCACCATTATCCAAACCCTCTTAGAACCTTTGTAAGTATGTGAGTAGTCTCCCCAGAAAGATTAGTGGGCACTTTCCTGGCCCCAAGCCTGTGGCTCTTGGGGTTGTCCTTGGACAAATGCTGCAAGGTCGTTGAAACCCAGTGCCCATTTTTAGGAGAGGGATGTCCCACCCCCCAACCCCCAGACATCTTCTAGAGGCTGCCTCAGCCTCTTCATGTCATCTGGAAACTTCCACTGCCCTGCCTTTTCTCCTCTACCCACCTTGCCAGCCACCTTTAATCCAGTTATTCTCCTTCCCCCTTGAGTCCCAGAGACACTACTATATGCACTAAGACTTTCTCCCTGGTGATTCCCCCCAGCCCTTTAGCCTGAGTCCTTCCCATTCCAACCCCAACTCCAGTGTCCTCTGCTGGTCTGGTTTTTTATTCAGCATCTGCTCACTCACAGCACTCCTCAGCTCAAGGCAAAAGCTGCACGTCTCTCCCTTCCCTGTCTGGTCATTCAGCTCCCTTGGGCTATATATAGCACAGTGGTGCCTTAGATTGTGTAGGGCATCAAGTCCTGTCTGCCACCCCCACCCCCCCCACCGTCTCCTCCCCAGTACAATACAGAGAACCCAGCCAGGAGGAAGGGGTTGGAGAGGGGCTAGAAAGGGTATGCTGTGTGAATCTGAGACCACCCAGAACATGGTAATCTTCCCTCATGTTGGCAGGGACTTCCCACTTGTCTCCAAGCCTGACAGCCATTCCCTACCACTTGCTCATTCTTGGGGAAGAGAAGCAGGCAGTGTGCAGAGGAATTCTAAATCATCTTATTTAACCCTTATAATGATCCTGTGGATAGATGCCACCTCCATTTTATAGACAATGACATAGGCTCAAAAAAGGCTGAATGGCCTAAGACCAAGTATTTAGAGAGTGGTCAGTCCAGAAGCTGACCCCATGTCTGATTCTGGCCCACACTCTGGATTCATTGTCAGTCTGCGTCATTCATGTAGACCCCTGTAAGTTAGAATTTATTAGTATGACCTGATTTGGAAGAGAGAGATTTATTAAACAAATTGCTAATGCAGAAATGCTTAACTCTAAATAATTATTAGACTTGGCATGCTATTAAAAATGTCATTATTTTATCTTATCTGTTCACTAAAATAGGACTCTACATAAATCTGTTCCTTCAACTATTAGTTACTGTGTGTCCTTAGAGGTTTTGAAATAAAAAGCAGGGTTTTTTTTCTTCTATTTCAAGACTTTCTTCCACTTTAAAGTCATTCTGCCATTAGTCTAGAATAGTGAGATTTGATTTTAGGAATAGTTAGAAGTCTGGTCCTTTTTTCTGTCACTGGGACCTTGAATAAGACATTTTACACAATCTTCAGTTTTTCATATACCACCTATATCACAGTTATGAGGATCAAATAAAATAATGTACTTAAAGTGATCAGCACACTTCTTGCCCCACAGGTGCTCAGTAAGTCATGGCAACTACATGTATTAGTATTCTGTTTTGGGCTGAGATGCTGTGGGAACATCAACATTGTCTCAACAGGGAGAAGTTAAAGTTCACTTCCGCAGCTTGGCCTGTTCTTAAAAGGCTTGGAGTTGATTCTGATTCTTGTTCTGTCTCAACCAGACATTTCCATTTCCCCACCTCTGGCCTACACCATCCATCTCTTGAGAATTCAGCCACTGCTGGGACTGGGAAGGGCAGCACAGTGGAGTGTATGTGAATGACTGGGAGGAGAGTTCCCATGGACGCTGGGGATATGTGAGGGCCCTGGGGAGTTATTGTGACCCTGGGTCTCCTCCTAGATCAGGGAGTGCTAGGGAGAGAAAAGAGAATCAGCTGCTGGACAAATTTCCAGTGCTGAAAAGCCCCTTTTGGATAGATGAACAGGGCTGAGTAGTCTAGGGAAGGAACAAAGGCCTGGGATGGATTGGGATTCCTTAGTGCATCCTGATCTTTCTCCATTTGTTAGCAAGAGGGTACATTCTTTTTCTTCTCCTATGAAGGGTGCCACAGTTCAGATTCCTAGGCTTCAGTCTAAGAGGGTTTCAATTTGGCCAACTCCCTGGGAAGCAGGCAAGAAGTACAAACTTTGGAGCCAGGCTACCCTATGATTCAGATCTTGACACTGCCATTTACTGCCTGTTACCCCCTGGTAAGTCATTTAGCCTCTCAGAAGCTCAGTTCCCTATAACCAAACTGCTTACTGTACAGAATAGCTGTGAGGTCTGAAATGTAAATACCTTGAACAGAATAGACACTGATGCTGGTCATTGTTATTTCTGTGACCTGAGAGCCTCAACCCCACAGGCAGTATGAAGAGCTCTGGAGATGTGAGGGAAGTCCCAGTGGTTTCAAACTCAAGGACAACTCTTCTTGTCCAGAAAACATCCTTGAAGGGCTCAAGACCAAGACCATAGAGCCTGTCTCCTACAGTTGGGGCATTTTACTTAGATCCAGTGTTCTTAAGAGCACTAGAGGCAATCTAACTTGGGGAAGAATGCAGGATCTCTATCCATCCTTGCCTCTATATTCCCTTCTCAGTTCTCCATACCAAATCCATCTCAGATCCAGTCACTTATGTCCATGGGAATTAATAGACAATCTAGTTAAGGGTCCCCTCCATTTGGTCTTCCATTACATCCCAGCACTTGGAACTCTGGCCTGGAGCTCAGCAGATGGGGGGTTAAGACTGATGCCCTGTCCCTATCTCCTCCCCTCTTCACTCCTGACTTCACAGTCTCCATAAAGCCTGCTTCCCTGATCCCATAGTGGCAGCTCCATCATCAGCTCTTGATTGGTTCAAAACAACAGACGCTCAGTCCTGGCCGGGCTGCCTGCACTCCACTTTCTAGCTGTCTCCTAGGGTAAGTAACAGCATGTTGAGGACCTGTGGGACCAACAGTCTTTGCTCCTCCAGGAGGGGAGAGGCAACGAGGAACAGAAGTCACCTCAAGTGGAGAGTTTGTCCAATGGCTAGATTTAGAAGGCCCCCACAACAGAACCCCTGGTCTAAGGACCAGAACTCTGGGACTCCATCTAGTTGGTGCTTAGAGCAGACATTTACAGGGGTTCACAAGTACAGCAATAGGGGTTGCCAGCCAGGGATGGAGGCAGGGGGTTGGCAACTGCAAAGAACCTGGCAAGAGATGGACCTGCAAGTGGGGGCGAGCAGCTCAGGGACCAGACTTTGTTCAGTTAGCATTTATGACTAAAATCTATGCTAAATTATACCCAAACCAACATCCAATCATTTTAATCTCTGGATCTGGTGATTTGGTAACCAGTGCTGTAACACTATCTGGGATAGCTCTGGCTTTCTGGGGCCAGATCCTTCTGTGTAGCTCCCTCAGGGACACTGTCACAGACTCAAGGCCAGTGGGGTCCCAAGGCTCAAGGCCTGTTCCTCCCACCCTCATCTGTGGATTTGTCCAGCTGTTTTTCTTGGCCCAAGGATCAGACCCATAGGGATGCAGATGGAACAGGGGAAGCAGAGAAAACAGTGGAGTCAAAATGAGCTGGGGAAGAGGCAGATGTTAGGAAGGAGATGGAAAAAAATGGCACTATTGGTCCAGCCATCTGAGACAAGTCACCTAGGACATCTTTTCAAGTAGCAACTGTGTTTGGCATGGAAAGAGAGGGTGTCTTAGCAGGCAACTCCCTCCCTCCTACCCCAGACTGAGAACCACAGTTCTTATTGCTGACTGCCTCCTTCTAGGGCTGGACTGAAGCCTAGGAGCCTCAGCTGCTAGCATCCAGGGGCAGGATGTCTGCTAACAAAGGCTGGTGGGTACCACCTGAGAGTGAAGACAGTGTGTCTGAGAAGTTCCTGAGGAAGACCAGGGAGTCTCCACTGATGCCTATAGGTAAGTGAAAAAGGAAGGGGGCAGTGGGGGCCTTCTATCAGAGAACATATCTCCTCCTAGTCCTTTCAAAGAATGAAGCAGAGAACTCAAGGGATCCTACTTACCAGTCAACAGCTAGGAGTGAACCAACAGCAAAGGTGCCAAGGGATACACCCTGACAGGGAAATGAGGTGGTCTGGGTGGGTTGAAGTGGCAGCTGAGTGCACGGGATATGGGAAACTTGGGCACCAAAACCAGGGTCAGGATGAGATGCAGCAGGTTAGGGTCCCCCAGGGCTTCCTTCAAGGCCCTGGGAGAGTAGGAACACAGGCGCAGGAGCCAGCAGTAGTTGGAGAAGGGCCTGGAGTGGAGCTCACGGGGGTAGAGAAGTCATGATGGCTATCTGTATACGAGAGGAGGGGCATCACTGGAAGGAGGCAGCCACTTTGAAAATGCCACCAAAAACTATCTAGTGATGCCCCTCCCCCCTCTCCCTGCCTATGCAGCAGGAAAGCAACCATTTACCCAGACCAGCCTGCCTAGTGAGGTGTCCTCTCTCATCAGATGAGCAATGTGCTTGGTGACTTAGACCCAGCGGTCATGTTCTCTGCCTACAGGCTTAGGAGGCTGCCTGGTAGTGGCAGCTTACAGGATTTACCGACTGAAGGCTCGTGGTCCCACCAAGCTGTCCATACACCTGATTCACACCCGAGTGGCAGCGCAGGCCTGTGCTGTGGGTGCAGTCATGCTGGGTGAGTGGCTGGTGGCGTCCCAGAAGAACAGGGGCAAAATTGATAAGGCAAAATCTGGCTGAGTCCTGACAGTTCAGGGAACATTATTTCACTCCCTGTTCTCTGTAACAGATTCCACATTAAGTCCTTGGTAAAGTCCTCAGACCAAGACATTTGTGGGGTTCCTTCTTTTAACATCGGGTCCCAGCCTGTGAGGATGGCGCAGTCTGTTTCATGACCATTTGTCCTAGACATGAGAAAATCACACAGCAAACATATGCGAAGTTTCCCTTCCTCTCAGGATCAAAAGGTGAACAGCTACATACCAGCTGTGAGACAGTGGACAAATCCCTTTCTATAAGCCTGTTTCCCCACGTGTAGTGTGATGATAACTGCCCTGGCTTGCCTACCTCACAGGTTGCTGTGAGGTTCTGACAGGTAATGTATGTGAAGGTGCTCTGTGAACTGTCAGCAGGTTGCTTTCGCAGGCCCCGTGGTAGGCCGCTTGCAGCAGCTGCTGAGACCAAGGGCAGAAAGATGTGCAGGGGAGCCAGACTCCTGGGGCTGTGCAGTTGTTAGTCCTCTCTGGGACACCTGGGAGAGCAGGAGGGTGGGTGGGGCGTTCGATATCATGGGGCGTTTTTCCTCCCCCTTCACACAGGTGCTGTGTACACAATGTACAGAGACTACATCAAGAGAACAGCCCAGGATGCTGGGGAGAAGTAAGATTCCTATAGGGCCTGGGGCAGGCAGACCCTCTTAGATCAACCCCTGATACACACCTAATAAAGTTGTTTTGAAGAAAGAGTCTTTTCTTTACATGGGGGAGAACAGTAATGGATTGGTAGTGGCTGGTGGGAGGACTCAGAGGGCCAGAAATCAGAGTTCCAGCCCCCAACTCCAGGGGAAGGGAGACTCCTCATGGGCAGAGGAGGAGTAGCAGACCATTGATCTCAGGAACCCAACCACTGCCAAGGCACCCCCAGTCCCACCCAGAAGCACAGTTGGGAGGACAGGCTGCCCGGAGTGGGAGTGAGAAGGTGGGGCAGTAAAGAGGCCTCCCTGCTCTTGGGAACAGCGGATTAAGAGCAGGGTGCCCCTCCCACCACAGGCTGCTGCCCTGGGGACTCTGCAGGAAGGCTGCAGCTGGGAGCAGAGACACTGAAGCCTCTGGGGACAACATACATCCAGAACCCGAGTGCCAGGCCTAGGCTGGGCGGAGGGTGGGGATGAAAGGAACAGAGTAATGCAGAGGTCAGAATGTTTTGTTCACTTAAAAACCATGTTTAAGGTCATACTGTTAAAAAAAAAAATTCCATGTAAATCCTGAAAACAGGGCCCCTTGGGGTTAAACACTTTCAATCCCTTCTTCCCTGAATGCAAGTTCCTCTGTTCCCTGGGAATGGAGCCAAGCAGAGGCTACAGAAAGAATCAGGAGGCCGAATGTTCCCCCCTCACTGGGGCTCGGGATTGGAGCCTCTGGGGTCGTTAAAGACGGCCCATGGCTCCCAGAAACACTTGACAACATGGAGTCCAAGTCATCCCAGGTCCCAGCCTCAAATCCATGATGCGACCAGTGCAGGGAGCAGGAGCTGCCAGGAATCCCGGCCCTCACATGGGGTAATTGAGCACGACATCCTGCTTGGCGAGCTCCAGCAGCATAGGGTCATCGAAGAACTTGCTGATGCTGACGTCTTCGCTCAGGCCCTGTGGAGTGGGGGCAAATGCAGGAAGGAGCCCTGTGCGGCGGCTGACTGAGCTGGAAGCCGCAGACAGCTGGTTCTGCGTGGGAGCTGGTGGGGGTGGAGTGGCGGCTGAGCTGTTTCAAGAGCCCTACCTTAGGGAATCATCACAGGGGAGGAGAGGGCTCTCCTTTCCCAGCCAGACTGCGCCCAGGTCTGGCGCAGCCTGTACAGATCGTATCTCTGCTGTGTGCAGTAAACTGCTCTTAGTCTTTGGGAGAAGGGTCCAAAATGAAGAAGAGAGATCCAACTCCTGGATCAACTCCTGCTGAGACCCCTGGGAGTTGATGGATGGCAATGGGCCTGAGGGACACGTACCTTCAACTCCTGCTGAGACCCCTGGGAGTTGATGGATGGCAATGGGCCTGAGGGACACGTACCTTCCTACGGCGGGTTTTGATCATGAATTCTCGAGCCAGGTGGGGAGCTGGCTGTGGCTCCAAGGGGCGGATGACAATGCTCTTGTCCAAAGGATCACCGGGTACAATCTGAAAGGCAACACGGTTTCAGATGGCTCAGGCAGACCTCCCAGGGCATTCAGGCTGAGGAGCAGAACTCATCTCTAGGCTGCTGGAACTCCCACTCTGGGCCTGGAAGGGGAACAGGTCAGAAGGGATTGGCCTTGTAGAGGTGGAGGCCACACTGGCCAGCCTGTACCAGTTTCTCACCTGCCAATGGTGGAAGACAGACAAGGAAAAGGCCTGCCCTTGGGTGTGAGTCCGCAGATCAGTCTCAAAGCCAAAAGAGTCGATGGCTGGGATGAAAGCTTTGATGGTATAGAGAGGAGAGCCTGGGATGGGTGCATCCTGAGTCACATGCCCCCTAAGACAGAAAAACAAAGGCTGAGTCCCTAGTTCTACTGAGGCCAAAAGCAAAGGAACTGTCCCCAAATGTACCCTATCCCAGAGTTACCATCAAATAACCACAAACATGCTACAGAGGGCAGAAAAGGCTTAGGGCTCTCACCATAATTCCCTATGGAATTCAGAGGGGCAGTGGCCTCTGGGAAAGAGTGGGAACAGTGATGGGACAGGTCCTGTGGACATTCCCACCACTGACATGCTTCAGTACCTTCTCCAAGAGTTCTCTGAGGAGGGGGCCCAAGAAGGAATCCAAATTTTAATCTGCAGTAAAGCTGGGGATTGCCTCATTCCTTTCAAAAAATCAGCTCAGGTTTCAGGAGTGGAGAGGGTGGGGGTGGCGAATCTCTCCTTCCCCAACAGCAGCCGTTACTTCTTGCTTTGCTTTTGCTCTTCACACTCTCCCTAACATCCAGGGTGGCTCACCTGCGTCTGGCCAGGACAGTATAAACGGCAGAGACACAATCTGCAGGGGCCTGGACCTCCACGAAGTAGTAGGGCTCCATCAGACGAGGAGTGGCCTGCAACAGCAGGAAGAAAGGGTTCCTCAGCTCGGGGAGGGCTGAGGCCTGGGAACCTGGATAAAGGAAAGGCGTTGGGGCCTAAAACGTGGACCTCCACCTAATGCTCTGGAGCTGGACAGCCCCCTCACTTACCATGAGGAAGGCAGAATAGACGACTCTCCTGGCTGTGGGGATGATTTGGCCCCCGCCCCGGTGCAGGGGCTCCTGAGCAACCACTGCATCCAGGATCTTAAACTTGACATTTCGAATCACTGAAAAGGAGATGGGGGAGCTGACCAAGGAGTGGAGATGGTGCTAGTCAACGGCCTGTGGGTAGAGCAGCTGAGAGCCTCTCACAGCACTGTAACTGTCTTGTGGCCACAAAAGCTATCATATGAAATCACCCTGTAGCACAGCAAGGGGCAGAAGTTAAGCATACAATCTTATTTTTATATTTCAGGCCATGCTCAGACATCATAAAACTTCCTCAGGAGTTTATGTGCCTCTTTTTCAGGTATTTAATTATTTTTGGATGTTGAATAAGTTCTTGGAATTGCACATTTGTTCCTACTAAGACCGATCTTGATCTATGAACCGCCCCAGCCCAACCTCCTCTTGATACCGCTCCTCAAACATGTGCCTTCTCAGGAATGAGGAGAAAATGTCAGTCTAGAAATGACTTCATTTCCAGGATGTACTAAGCAGTAGCAACAGGACAGAGGGAGGAGAAGAGATGAAGCTGGTCCAGGACATGGATGACCCTGTGCCCCAAGCTGCTTCCTCATTCACTGGAGGAAAGGACCCTAGAGGACTGGGGTAGGGGAGGCAGAGGCGCTGGCAGACTTACATTCATCACAGAGGGGCCCCTCCCTTGTTCCCCACTGGAAACCTTGAACAATGCTGTCCTTCACTGAGCCAAGAAGAGCCTTGTCTACCTGCACAAAACATGAGGGCCCCTTAGCAGTGATCCTGGAAACAGTCAGAGTTTAGAAGGAGGAGAAGGTAGATTTAAGAGATAAGAGAATATTCGCCTTTACCAGAAGGCACAAAATACTTTCAGGAAAAGAACATTTTGCAATTTCTTCCACTGAAGAGCTAAAAGACCGCCGCATAGCTCCTGTCAGCTTTGCTGTACCTCAGATGGCAAGGTATCATCCACCAGGATGTTGGGGCCAGTGGCGTCAGGGCCAAAAGCCCAGATGGAGCGGGCAGCCAGCAGATCCCAATCATACTTGGTCTGGAAGAACTCTCCCAACTTCTTCCTGGGGGAAGGAGGAAAAACAGAGGTGCAGACAACTCTGTGATTGTTGGCTCCTGGGGCCACGGGTCCCGTCTCTGGAGGACAGTCACCTTGGCCTGTTCACAATGTGCCCAACACCTTAGCAAAGGCAGGGAGACAAAACTGCCTCTTAGAAGGACGTGTCGTGTCGTAGTAGAGACCCAATAGGTAAGTGGTGGTGCCCTGTCTCCCCCGAGCTTGGAGTCAGAGCCATGATCTCACCTATTCCAGGTGATCTGGACCACCTCGTTCTCTATGTCCTCAGCAAGGCCCTTCTCAAGAGGCTCAGCGATCATGGTGATCTTGTTCCTAGTTAGAAAGGAAATGTGTCATGAAAAGGGTCAGCAGGGCTAGCAGAAGGGGCATTCCTAAGAAAACGGTGACAAAGAGATCAGCTAAGGCAGTGACATCATGAAAGTCACAGGGGCAGAGCAGAGCAAACAGGGCTCCTCTTCCGTCTTCTTTCATTTGAATCTACCAATCTCTTAAAAAGTAAGCTTTAGGGCAAAAAAAATTGTTTTTCTAAGCCTTAAATAGTATTAGTATATTAGGCAGTAAAACAGCAGAGTTGTTGCTGGGGCAGAACTTTAAGATGGTCACATGTTATAGAGAGAAGTGGCAATTATGAAACATCCTAGAAGGACCTAAGGTGAAGAACTCCACAGTGTTGTGACCAAAGGCAGAAGGGATGAAGGGGCTGGGATAAAACTCGAGCACCCTAAGCACCCCATCCCAAGCTTAGGGGGTTGCTTGTTCCACAATGTTTGTGACTGGAGGGGACCTTGGAGAGGGGAGAGTGCCCCCTGTCAGTCCCAGGGTCACTATGACCACCAGCTTACTTCTTATTGGGTGTTTCAGCAAAGCACTTGAGGGAGGATGTTTCCACCACTGTCTCACAAAATGTGACAACAGGGTCTGCCACCTGGGAGACAAAATTAATTGTTAGGCAAGGTATAATTGTTGGAAGGACAACCTTCTGCCAAAGGGAATTCTGAGGGTCCCTTAACAATACCTCTGTGAGAACCCCCATCTTAGCATCAGTGACACGTACAGTAGCAGACTCAAAGTCCGTACTATCACTAAGAAGCCTGAGACAATTTAGTGCAGGGTAGAATTTGTGTTCCGGAGGCAAGTGTAAAGGGATCGACTTTGGGCCTAAATTATAGACCTCCAAAGTATCTTTCAACACGTGTTCAGCTATTTCGCCACCACCACTGAACAACTCCTGTGGGCCTGCCAGAGCTGCCACCAGAGACTGAGTAGAAGGCACCCATTCCACTCTCAACCCCTGGCATCTGGAGAGCACAGCTCCTCCCAGAGGCTCCCATGTGGCCTACTACTAGGAAATCCAGTGCCCTCTACAGCACTAGTCCTGGCCATTGGTGGAAAAGCTTAACAGGGATACTTGAGGGTACTCATTCCCACCGC